CTCCAGCTTCAGTAGCCACCTCTAATGCACTTTTTCCATCTTCATTTTTACTGTTAGGGTTAGCTCCTAGTTTCAAAAGCATTGACAATTCAAAACTATTTCCAGCTTTGGTCGATTCATAAAGTAAACTTTCAAAATTGCAGTCCCTTTCTTTAACAATTGGAATTAACTCTTCATCTATAGCTACTTCAACTACAGCAACATGTTTCATTGAATTTATTTCAGTCTTCACTTTCTTAACAAGAGACTTTGAACAAGAGGGAGGCACTTTGAGCTTTAGTAGAAGTGAGCCATATTCAAAACGAATTTGACTAAAGAGATCTGCTGTTTCTCCAAAGTAATGATTGAGGACTTTTTTGAGATTCTTCAAAGTCACCTCTTCCCAACGTTGAGCGAGCTTGATGACAATTGGTTTGGTTTGATCACTAGTGCTTGATATTGGAATTGTTAAAGACAGCTTATTTCTAATGGCTTCGCGTACATCTTTTAATTTAGAAGATTCTGAAAATTTATCAAGGGACTCCATGTATTCGACTAGTTCATCTTGGACATCATTGCCAGGAATAAACTGCTTAACTAAACTATTTAGAAGGCTAACATTAAGGAAATCAAAATGTGGTGCTATGGTAGAAAAAATATTGTTTATGTCCCTCTTTGCAATTGTTATGCTAAGAAATGCTTCTGCTTGATATGCTATTTCAATAGCTTTTAGTTTTCCATCATTTACAAACTGAGTGAAAGTTGTTCTGATTTTCACAACAAGAGAAGAAAATCTGAAATGGAGTTCTTCAATGTGGCAAGCAACTTCATCCTTTGAACTGAGTTTTATTAATATTGGAGATGTGTGATGTAGTGACTTTGGTGTCGATGGTAAAATGAAATTGTTGCTCTCATCTGATGGTGGCTGATGGACATAATGTCTGTCCTGCAAAACTGTAATGTCACCACCATTTTGACCTATATAAAGTAAAAATATGTCATTTAGTGTCATAAAACTTACCAAATGTCTCTTTTAATTTATCTGCAATACAAAGAAGTCCTACATCTTTCAGTGAAATATAAAGAGTAGAGATAAACTTTTCTGGAGTTGAATGACCCTCTAATATAGTCAATACTGAAGAGCACAATTTATTTGCTCTCTCGTAAGGCCCATTGATACCTCCGACTGTGATATGCACCATTTTAGGAATAAGGCCAGCTGAAAAAAGATGAGCGCTCAATTGAGTAATGACTGGAGCATTGCCAGCCAATTGTTCAGTGAGATCAGCCAATACCTCTCTAAAAGTGATATATTCTACTAGATCTAATGGACCATCACTTCCTGACAAAACAGATTGAGATATAACAACTGATTCATCCGAGTCTCTGCTAGATCTAGTAACTACAGCATCATTTTGATCAATAATTTCTGAGGTAATTTCAGTATCACTTGTTGTCCTCTCAC